TGGAAATGTGAATTTTTAAAATGCAAAAGCCTTCAAATTTTAAAGTGCTGGCAACTAACTTTAAAAAAATCTATATAAAACAAGTAATGCGATCTATGGCTTCCAAAAAGTCATGCATATGGGTTGTGTATCACCTGTTTGCAACAATAAACAATAAAAAATAAAGATGGTCAATTTTATTGCATGCCTTTTATCTCAGGTATGTGTCAAACATCCTAAACTGTATGTATGAAAGACCCTATACAATCATCTCAAGAACTCTATGAAGCTAGGTCTTACACTCAGTTCATAAATGAGAACACAAAGGCACAGGGAGGTCATCAGTAACTTAGTACTTTTCCGGGACTTCCCTGTCACCACTGGCCTTTGCCCTGTACCTGTTGCTACTCCTTTTTCCTCAGCTTTCTGAATTTCTTCCAACTCCACCCCAAGTTTTTCGTCCTGAACAAAGGCAGGTAGCCACCCTATGACATCAATGTCCCCTACAAAGCCCAGTAGGTCCAGTGCAGAGGGATCTGGAGGAGCCTCCAGGTGCTTACTGGCTGGTCCCTCTTCAACATGTGTTAAGTCATCTGCCTCAGGAGGTGACTTCAGAGCAAGAGCATTTGTGGCCCTGGGATAAGCACTGTAAGATAGTGGCTCAGGCAATCCTCTTGCAAATTGCTGCAGGGAGCGGGAGGGGGACCCAGCAGCCACAATGTACAGGTGAGCAAGTTGAGGCCTGGGGAAGAGAAGTGACTTATCCAACGTCACCCCACAGAGACATCACTCAAGGCTCACATTCCGGTCTCCTTTGAGATTGATGCTGCCTGTGCCAGGCTGCATGCACTGAATGCTGCCTGGTCACAACACATCTGTCTCCTTACTCTACCTGGACTAAAAGACAGGGCTAAGGCCACCAAGGGATTGGCAAGTGGGTCTGGAGAAGCTGGAGCTGAGATGGAGGAGCATCCTCCTGGACTCTCCAGCTCAGGGAAGAGGCTGCTCTGCAGCTGGGAGGTGAGGCACGGACAGGGTGGCCCCTTCAAGCATCTTCCAGGGTCAGATGCTATGACCCGGGCTGTGCAAGGTGGAGGAGGATGCCTGGGGTGGGGGAACCTGGGATTCAGGGCTCCCCCACCCCTCCGACCGTAGAGGGCTGAATCTTTGCAGCAGCTGTCTTCCTACATCCTCTGGCTTCAAAGCTCCCGGTACTCCCTGTAAAGAGCTTTCCTCTATATTCCCCTTTACATTTTGCCTACATATTTTTACAGCCAAATGGTGCTTTCAAAGGCCTCCTTTTTCATCTCCTAATTAATTTTTATCTTCTAAGACGGAGGGAGGACAACACAGGAAATGTTGTTTATGATGTCTGCTGCTCCCTGACAACTTTGAGCAGAACCTCCCCTGGAGTGATGCGGCTGCCTCCAGGCACGCGTCCTGTGGGCTGTGGCTGAGGCTGAGAGGTATGGAAGTGCTGGGAATCTGATATCCTGCTTCCTGCTCTTGTCATTTTGGGCAGTAGTGGGCACCTCCCTCCCTTTGTGTTCTACTGTCAGCCAAGGGAGACGATTAGACCGTTCACAGCCTTTCTGGGACCACAGAAATGAAATTCACCAGTCCTGCTTTGGGATGTTCATGGGACACCACCTGCTTGGTCCTGGTTCTCAACACTACCTCCCGCATTTGATCCTTTTGGCTTCTGCCAACTTTTAACTCCGTCCTTTAATTCTAGAGCAGCATCAACTCATCATGAGTTAATTCTCAGCAACTATGGTGTGCCAGGATGGTGCTGGATTGTGGGTAAGCCTCAACTGACTGGCTTCATTCTTTCCTGAGTGACTCCTGAGGATTTTGACAGGATCCTTACAGAGAGCATTGGCACTGCAGCCAGACTACTGGGGTTCAAATCCCAGCTTTGAATTTCACCAGCTGTGTGGACTTGGGGAAGTCAGTTAGCCTCTCTGAGCCTTACTTTCCCTTTGGGGAAAATGGAGATGATAATAATCTACCTCCCGGGGGTGTATAAGGCTGATATGAGTGAATATGAGCATCTCCTAGAATGCTGGGCTTCTCCCCAAACTGATGTTTGTCCAATCCTAGTATCAGCCTTGCCATATATATTCCTGGAAAGGCCAGAGAACCTCCCTTCCCAGGAGAAGACCTCTGAGTAGATATGGGAGAGGGCACTGTGGGTGTAGATAGTATGTCCGACCTTGAATCTGGCTCTACCATTGATCTTCTATGGCAAAACACTCAATTCCTCTGCATCTCCACTTCTCTAGGTCAAAGTCAGGTCTCCTTTCAGTTCTAACTTGCAAACATTCTCCAATAATGAGCAGGCTCCAACTTTGCTCTTGGGGAAGACATGACCAGGAGGTCCAGCTCCAGAGGGAAGGGATGCGGGAGGAAGTAGGTTTGTCCAGACACCTTGTGGGTGGGTGTCATGCTTTTAACCCAAGGTTAATGTGTTCACATTCACACTCCTTCCTACCCACATCATGGCCCTGATGCTGCTGCCGCCATGGGAGGACATCTGGGTTAGGGGAGCTTCGTGTGAATGCAGGCAGGAGACAGAGTGGCCAGACACAGAGAGGGGTTAATTGACCCAGGAGAGAATGAGAATGGAGTCAGACCTTCAGGGGCACATGCAGGTGCTGCTTCTGGTCAGAGGGCCCTTGTGAGCATGAGCCCTTGAGCCCCAGAAGCCCAGCTGGGTGACAGCATTTGTGTCCCTTCTCTGCCCTCCTTGCTATGCCATTTGCAGGGAAGGAGGGTGGAGGCGGAGAAGGCTGCGGGAAGTGCTGCTTGATGCAGAGGACAGTCTCGGTAGGGAGCTGGGACCAGGCTCTGGGAAGCCAATCTGAGCATCTTAGCATGGAGGAAAGCGAGGGCATCCAATCAGCGGCAATGAGCCCGTGTCGGGCTTATTTATGCCGCTTCCCTTTGATCGGGAGCCCTGCTTAGAGACAGGCTCATGTGTAATGCATGAGAGAGGCTCTGGCTCAGTCAAAGGGCTGGGCTGCAGCCTGGGGACAGGCAAGCAGGTGCACACACACACACACACACACACTCATGGAGACACACATGCAGAAGTGGCCTTCACACACACACACATCACTACATAGTTTCCCTTCTTCCACTTATCTAGGCACACCCACGGGACACTGAGCACACCTAGTCTCTGTGTACATGTGCATACAGACACCCTGGCACATACTTGCAAACACTCATATGTCCATATCAGGAAAGCTCACCAACACATACACACTCACGCACACACACACACCCACACACACTATGTAAACACTCATGTCTAAGTACAGATAGATGTGTACTTACACAGGCAGATTCTTAGCCATCGGTACACATGCGCACACCAATATATACAAATATACTTTTTCATGCAGTATCTATTGCTACCTGCACAAATGCAGCTGTGTATATGTACACATGGAATCATATTTGCTCACACTCATACACACTTACAGAGTCCCACGAAGCTCATAACATCTCTTTGATGATGCTTTTATCTTCCCCTGGCTCTAAATACACACTGTGACTTCTTAGACACATGGTGTTTGCAGCTTTCTGGTTAGAGTAGCAACATCTAGAGGGGTCCCCATCCCCTCCTTTCTCTTCACTAAGCCACTTCCAGCCTCAAGGAGGGGTGTACAAGGTTTGATGAGGAAAGTGTTAGGGGTTTCTATGGAAGGCTTCCCACTCCATTCTTTCTTCTTCTCTTCACTCTGGGCCCCCTGGAGGCTCAATCCATCACTCAGAGGCTTAGTCTAGGAGGCAGGGGCTGAGGGATGGGGAGCTCGTGACCAGGAGGAAGGGAACTATCTGGCATTTGGACTGAAAGAGACAGGTGATTCATGAATGAACGAACAAATCTGCAGCTACAGAGGCTCCAAGTCCTGATCATTTCTGAGAGGTCATGAGAGTAGTGGTTCTCAAAGTGTGTTCCCTGGACCAGCTGTGCCAACAGGACTCAGTATCTTATTAGAAATTCTCATTCTCAGCTCCCACCCAGACCTCCTGGGCCAGACATTCTGAGGGGCAGGAAGTGTTTCATGTGGTAGGAAGTCCCAGCAACACTGGCTTAGTTCCCAGGCTTTGGTGAAAGGCAGACTTAGGGCAGCATGTGGCTCCACCAGTTGTGAGTTTTTGGATGGGAAACTGCTGTGAGCCTCAGTTTCCACATGTGTAAAATAGAAATAATTACAGCACCAACCTCACAGGACTTGTAAAGGTGAAATGAACCAAAGCACTAGGTGTAGCTCCAGTCCCACTGCGAGCCTCAGTGCTGGCGGCTACTGTGATTATTACTTCTGGATGCACATTGATGCCTACTGGCTCTCAGAGGACAGGTCGATGCTGGCAGAAGGTGAAAAAACATTGGCGAACTGAGCCAACACTTTCAAGACAGAAGTAGCGAAGTCATGGCTGGATACCCATTGGAATGGTCACTTGGGCAGATAACAGGGACTTTATCTGAAGATGCCAGCATTCTAAGAGTGTAATATGCTAAGTAAGCAGTGCTTATAACTGGTCATTTGAGTTGTAAGCCTCCTTCCTTCCTTTGGGCATATACCCCACTATTCTCTCAGTGGTGGACAGCTCCTCCCAACTACAGGCCAGCACCTTGGCGTTGGATGGTACAGAGACCCTAAGACAAGGGCCACTATTCCGGGACCTGCCAGTGTGTCTGGGCACCCATCCTTCCCCTTCACCCACTCACTTTTTCTACCTGTCCTCCCTTGATAACTCATACAACTTGTCCCAGGTACAGAAACTTCCAGAATTTGTGCCAAGACCTACCTGTATAGCTCATATCAACACAGTTCCCCAAAGTCAAGTGGTTGAAACAGGGAGGGACTGAACCCTAAAGGTTTCTGGCTCATTGGCTCTGATCTATGTGGAAGGACAAAGACCCTACCATCCCTCTCTTTTGTGCTCATTGAACCGTCTGTGGCGGGTTAGTTTGTGGCATTGCAACAGAAAGGAAAGCTTCTCACCTTGAAGAAGGTCATGGTAGCTCCGTCCTTCACAGCTCCGTACTCGATTTTGGTTTGCTTGGCCAGGTCATCGGCAGAGTCGATGGGCGATTCCATGCGCTCCACTGTGAGAAAGGCAGCCAGGTTGGCCGTGTACGAGGAGATGATGATGAGTGTGAAGAACCACCAGATGCCACCGATGATGCGTGTCGACAGAGCTTTGGGCATCAGTTCAGACCCTGGAAGAAAGGAGACAGTGGTGTCTTACAAGGTGCAGACGTGGGCTGCTTGAGTCACTTGGGTTGGGGACTCCATTGCCACTTTCATAAAAATGGCTCTCAGCAGTGGGGCCCACCACCAGCACCACCTTGGGAAATTGTTAGGAATGCTAATTCTCAGGCACCAGCAGTCCAGGTGGTTCTGATATGAAATTTAAGTGCCACTACTCTGAAACAATGCAGACATACACAACAGTTCACAGGGTGTGTCAGCCCTCCGCTGCCTACCCATGGGCCACTTCTGTGGTCCAGGTTAAAAAGTAGGGGAAGAAACCCTGGAAACTTGAGTGAATTCTGTTCTCAACACTCTGCGTGAGCTTCTGCCAGACACTTCCTTCCCCTATCTGGGGCTCTGCAGAGCACGACCAGTCGTCCTTCCTCTGTCCCAGCCTCAAAGAAACACTGTGATGCTGCAATGATATAATTTCAGGAGAAAATGCATCAGAAGTACAAGTGGTATACAAATATGAGATTGCTATGTGATGCTTGGCAGCAGGAGAAAAATCAACATTTTTGGAAGCTCTTTGCTGAAATATATCGCTCTTCCTCCAGGACCTAGGGTGTGGAGTGAGCATAATTCAGATGAAACCTTCTAACTGAAGTAATTAACTAGGTGGCTTTCAAGAGATTTAAATAGCAAGTGACTCCTGAACTTTCCAGAATATTTAGATCTGCAAACTAAAAAGCATCTGCTTTGATATGGATGTTTTTTTTTTTTCTCAAAGAAATCACCTCAAGGGAGAGTTTTCAAATATATAACTATTTTCTCCTTCCTAATCAAAACTGTGAGGGGAGTGTCTGGGGGGCCAGGGCTTTGAATGGTAGCAGGCAGCAAAAGAGGGGACGTTATTACTGCAATAAGGGGCTTCTACGTCCTTCCCTCTGTCATTGAACAAAGATGATGGGTTATAGAGTGAGGTGAGGCTTCAGGACACTCGATAATAGCGGGGACAGGTGGAGGATTTCCCCTGAAAACTGCCTGTCACTTCCCAACTGCTGGGAGCCATTTAGCTACCCAGCTCTCCTCTCCATGCAGCTGCTCTCAGCCTCCTGAAGTTGCTCCATCCAGGGCTTCAGCTGCCCCCAAAAGGAGAAGAGCTCCTTATAGTTGCTTTCTTGGGAAGCTCTGCCAGGCAGCTGGCCTTCCAGCTGGGGCTGGAGCCTGTCCCTGGGTTCTGAGGGACCAAATGATCTCTGGGGTATAGGAGAGAGCCACTTTTTCCTCTTCTTTACTCAAGTACTCAGCACAGAGCATGATGTGTAGAGGACACTCAGAATAATACTGTTAATTAATCAATTAGGCATTTACTGATGAGTGTCTCCCAAGGACCAGGCGAATGTTCAGGAGGTTTTCTTTATCTGTTGAAGTCTCTTGTCCTTGGCCCTAGTTAGCATATCTCTAACACAGGCAGAGACTTGGTCGCCCCCCAGTCCCAGATAAGATGCCCTGGATGTAGAATTCCATAGGCAAAGGCAGTGGGCACATGGCCTCTGGCCAGCAGGCTCGGACGGGTGGTTCTCCCTTGGGTCTTTACTTGCTGGGCCTCCTCTGTGCCTGCTCTCCAACCCCTCCATGTCTCTGCATCTGACACCTTGAAGTTAGAACAGATGCTCTGCTTCTTGGGTATATTAGTAGCTGTAGATAACTCCAAAAGGCTAGTTGCCTGTACAGAGTCAGGAGGAGCATATGGTCCTTCCAGAGGATGTAAGGGAACTGTGTGTGTTCTTCTGTGGGTCCCCTCTCTGATACACTCAGTGGAAGTCTCCTCCCCAACTGACCCCTAAGACTTCCAGTTCCCAGTACGCAGATGATTACCAAGTTCTGACTATTCTACTTCCTAAAGTTTTCTTAGTTACCTCTGCCCTCCCCAGTCACGATCACAACCTCCCCTGAGCTCTCATCTCATTCCTGCAATGGCCTCCCGTCTAGCCTCCTGCCTTCAGTGTTTTCCACCTACAGCCCAACTCTGTTCAGCCTGATTCTATGGCAGAGAGGCATAGGTCAGATGGCTGACATGCTTTGGCCTTAGATGCTGAGACAGTTTCAGCCAGAGCCGTAGTGGGGTGGATCTTGGGGTCCAGGACACACACCAGGGTGGCTCCAACCTCCTGGCAGCTCAGTGAGGTTGGAGCTTGCCCCTGGAGGATGGACTGGCTCTGATGACTCCACAGAGGCTGCTGGACCTTCTGGGAAAGGAAGATACCCTTCCTGAGACAGGAGGTGGGAGACTGGGCACCCACCTTGCTGCATCAAGGATCCCATTCCAAACCAGAAGCTGTTGAGCAGAGTGAAGTTGTTTTCTACCACCTCGGAGCCGGGGTTGCAGGGATGAGCATCATACCACTCGTAGGGGCTGAACCTGCAGAGGGGAAAACAGGAGACAGTGAGGCTGAATGCAGGGAGATGGAGGGAAGTACACTGCACCAACAGAGACCAAGCACGAGTGTGGGGTGCCAGCCACTTCAGCATCACTGGTTGTTCTGCTCAGGCAGCAGACAAGTGGCAGTCAGGGGTTTCTCCTTGTTCGTTATAGTTAGTTTCTGGCTGTAAAAGTAACTCAGAAACATCTCTTAAAATTAAAAGTGAGCATGCCCTTCCACCTATCAGTACCGGAACTCATTATCTATCTGAGAAAAGCACTTTATACAGGAGCATACAGGAAGCAGATTGAAGGTGTGTATCAAAGGGTTGTTTGTGATGGTGAGAAACTGGAAACAACCTAAATGTCCTTCAATAGAAGGATGAATAAATAAACCATGCTGCAAGTGTCCTTTGAAATATCACGTCACTGTTAAAGAGAGCAGGGAACTTCTAGATGTGTGGATGGGGAAAGATCTTCAACACATCATGTTTGCACAAAAGAGAGTGATAAAAATCAGAACAATATGATCACATTTGTATAAATAGACTTCTGAAGACATATAGAGCTCCTTCTGTGTGTGTTTAGATGCAAATGCATCCTTAGGGGTCTGGAAGGTTCCATATATAATGAATATCAGTGTTTATCTTGGGAGAGGGAAGTCAGAAAGGCAGAAGGACCTTCAGGGGGGCTGTTGCTTTATGTGAATTATATGAATTTTTAAAAATGCAAAGATGTTTTTGAATGTCTTGTATAATTTTAAAAATGCAAAAAAACTAAAAGGCACTCTATGAAATATTCAAATAGTATAGAAGAACACAACAAAAAAGTAAAAGTACCCCCAGCAGCCTACCTCCTGGGAGAGAACAATTCGGTATATGAGGTATATAATTTTTTCAGATTTTCCTCTTTGACTATACAAATACATATATGGCAGGGGAAAATGTTATTTGAAGTCCCCCACACCCTCCAAGGAAGATGACTCCTGATTACTGGAGGGAGTCTTGGTTGACTGCCTGAGTCTCAGTTGACAATATGTGAGTTTGAAGATACCAGGACATTGATACACCTGGGGAAATTGCTGGCTCGGGGACAGGGAGGGGAGAGAGAGGGAGGGTAATGGGGATGAAAGACAAGACCAGGAATTCTGTTTTGGTTTCTGGTTTGATACCCTTAAATGTGATGCCTCTTTCCTTCTCCCTTCTACAAGTGATAACACATTACAGATTGATCACCAGTGCTCATGTGAGAAGAATTTCGTTCTTACGAAGTAGAAAGACCTCTCAGACAGCAAATTCCAAAGAGAGGCTGCTAACCAAGTTAAGGATTTTCAAAGAAACTGACCACACACTGGTGAGAGGCTCTAAAATCCACAAGGAAGAGATGGAGGATCAGCCTAGCAGAGACGAGAGGCTGTTGTGAGGATTCTGGGGAAAGCCTGTGGAGAGCTGTGTATCTGGAGCAGAGGGAGGGGGGCTTCCCAGGACACTGGTACTGGCCAGGTGCACTGGGGGTGTCTGAAGGGCAGGCAGCAGGTGATGTATGCTTTGCAGGTAGATGCAGGATAGCCACTGCCACAAGCCCAGACCCAATAAATCTGGGCATTGGGTGCACAGAGTTTCACCACTGAACTCAGGCAGAAAAGAGATCCAGCCAAGGTCCACCTCGAGTTCACCCTAGAAGCTCAATAAACTCCAACAGGCAGAGGTTATAGGCAAGGGCTGCTGGAGAGGGCACTACCGTAGGGGTCCACTTTAAGGCTGGGGAGAACTCTGACTCATGAATGAAGTCAAATATTGGGAAACATACTGGATCACAATTCTAATTTCTGGAGGGAAACAGTGAGTTTGAAGCTGAGAGAGATACCTAGAGCTTTCTGTGATCTGGCAATGAACTTAAAAGTCACAGCTGTGACAGTTTTCATGGGGGACAAGACATTTCTGAGAACTGAAAAAGAGGCCTGGGAGACAGATGGAAGGTGATTTCTGAGCAGAGCTCATGGAATTTGCTTTTACACTACTAGTTACACTCACTTCATGTCAGTTTTTAACACAAAAATATGCTATCATATTACTGTACTATTGGAGAACTTTTTCATTTAAGAAGCCACCACCTCTTTCCAAACCAGTCCTTTTGGATATACTCTGTGCTCTGTAACCACTTCATGGGTGACTTAACCATCCATCTGTTGGTGGGCACTGGTGCTGTCCCTGCTTCCCACCGCTGCACACTCAGCTAAAGGAAGCTTCCGTGGGTAACCTCTAGGGACACCAATGGCAACAGGTGGCCTTGTCCTCCGCGGCTTTGTTGGAAAGGTTTTTTAGATTCCAAAGTGTGTCTCAATGGTGACACTTACACAGGATGAGTTCCCTGAGGTGGAATAAAAATAACTGACTCTGGAACGGGTGCCTTGGGTATCTAGTGCTGCCTCTGGCTGGGGTCTTACTACTCTCTGACGGTTGATGGCAACAAGTATCCATTTCTCTCTCTCTCTCTCTCTCTCTCTCTCTCTCTCTCTCTCTGTGTGTGTGTGTGTGTGTGTGTGTGTGTGTGTGTGTGTGTGTGTGTGACTGTGATGCTGCAGGAAGAGGACAGAGGGTCCAGACTTCACTGTGTTGAAGAGGAGGAGATGGACGGCTGCTGGACAAGGGGGCCAAGTGCCGCGTGAGTTAATGGTGGATCTGACACTTATGGCTTGGGCTGTTCTAGGGTGCTCCACTTGTGAGCAAATGAGAATTAGGAGCCTTTAACCTGGAGACACTCTGGCTCCATTCAGGGGAGAAAGCTATACTCCAGTCCCACCCATTGAAGTACAGACAGGACACTGACTGTGGTCTTCTGTTCTTTGGGATACTCATTTGAGCAGGATTTGCCCAGAAAGTGGCTCACAGGGTCAGCTCACCCTCAGTGCTACCTCCTGGACCAGGCACTTGGGACTACATCCCTGTGACAAGCACCCACTGTTATCTCAGTGGTGAGAAAGTGTCCTCTGTTCCCTTCACGTGTTCTTTTACCTTACCAGGTGTGAAGCAGAACATCCAATGCCTGGATCCCAGGCTGAGTTAGTTTGCAAGATAGATGGCCTTGTGCCATGTTGGAACTACCTGGGCATAGCCTGAGGACCAGTGTACACTTGCAGAGCCTATCTTATGGGGGCATGGGTGCTGTGTCCACATGTTTAACAGTGGCATGGAGCGCTCCAAAGGGCACAGGTTATGGGGTAGGAAAGCTGTGTCCACACTATAGATGTCTTATGCTTGACCTTGATGGTATTGTAAGATTTTTGGCCATGCAGAAAAACAATGAGATGTCACATCAAAATCTAAGTCTCGCTCTAGAAACCATGAGCACAGTGACATGGTCCCTGCGTTTCTATCCAACACAGCTGGTCTGTTGGTGCCGAGCAGTGGCTGCCCCTACAAGCCAGCTGTGTACTCTCTAGTTTGCTTCAATTCTGACCATTCCTGCTGCCATCATCTGGTTGCTTCTGTCCCTCATACCACCTGTCTGCCCTGGCATCAACTGTGTTTGATTTAAAGTTGGGCGGTTCTAGCCCAATTATGGCAAGGAAAAACTTTCAGACTCTAGGAAATGGCATAATCTCTCCAAGCCTTGTTTTCAGCTTCTGTAAAGTGGAGATAATTATACTCACCTCACAAAGCTGTAGCAAAGATTTGAATTGTGTAGTGTGGGTGCTTCAAAACTATACTATGACGCCTTTCCTAGTTTTGTGGGTAAGACATTCATCATCATCCTTTCTCTGAGAGTACCCCAAATCATTCTCCTCTAGAAATCTCTTCTCTTCCCAGAAGTCGAGCTCCTACCTTCCTAGCCAGGAGGGAAGGGCTGGAGAGCAGGGCTGCCCACAGCTGATGGCAGGCTGTGAATCTGAGGGGGGAAGGGACGCACATCAAACAGAATCACATCAAATAGACTCAAGTGAAGCTGGGAAAGATGTGTCTCAGAGGGAACGGCTGCTGAGAGATTGCTGGAGCCACTAAAATTATGGAGAGATCACCCAGAGAGTGGGTCCTGCCTTTCAAAGGCTTGTTAGGACATTAGAGACAAGAGGCATAATGAAGGCTTCTCTGCGGCAGCTTAGCTGCTGACTGGACTGACCAGATGAGATGGCCAGCACGGCACTGGCCCACAGGGCCAGGCAATTTCCTTGTGTCTATTTCATGTGAATGCCCCAATGTATAAGCACCTTGTGGTACTATATATATATCTCAGGCATTGTACTCCCACATGTACATGTGTATATACCATGTTTCTGCATGTAGACACACATAAGCCTTTATGGAAAATGACTCCCCTGCAGTTGTGGATTGTACATAAACAACCTGGTTTTCAAGTTTTTGGTTATCCCTGGGCCATGCAATGCATCTGGGTGTGCTGCACCAGGTACCTGGTCCTGGTAGTGCAGCCTCAAGCAATGAATAATACCTCCAAGCCCGTTCCTGAGATGTGGGCTGTAAATGCTGCATGTCAGAGTCATGACCCAGGCTGTGGCAGGACCAGGCCATGGGACATTCTCTGAGGGATATGAAGGAATCTGAGCCTCAGGGAGGGAGAGAGCAGTAGGCATGATGGTGGCTTGAGCTTTGGGCTTCCAGGCAAGGACCGAGGTTGTGGGAACTCACTGGGCTCCCTAAACCTTCAACCTCAGGCTCAAGCTCTGGCCAAGGAATTGCCTTACCTGGCAATGACAAAGAGGACACAGCTGACACCCAGGTAGGCAAGAAGCACATACATCCAGATGTCCGGGGACAATGGGTTGAGGAAGGAGAAGACACTGGGGTTGGTGCCATTGGGCTTGCGATACAGGATGCTCACGCCAAGGGTCATGAAGGGCTTGGAGAAGTCGATAGCCTTCTCACGGACGTGGGTGATGGTTAGTGGAGCCACAGCCAGATCTGCCTTCTGCAGAGAGAGAGAGAGAGAGAGAGAGAGAGAGAGAGAGAGAGAGAGAGAGAGAGAGATGATCACACCCTTAAAGGAGCAGGTCACAGAGAAGAGGATCTTCTTGGAGAAGGGCAGATGAGGGAATGAGGTGGCCTTAAGAGCTTATGACCTCGAGGAAGAGGACAGCAATGTAAACTTGCTGAGAATGGAACTTTATTACAGCTGGAGCCCGCGCAGTCCCCTTCTCAAGGCAGTACTTAGTCTAAGGAATACGGTGCAGGAACAAACATTTAAAAATTGCTCAGAGTCTTTAAAACACCATGAAAAGGGTGCAGAATCCACAACTTTTGTTTCAATCTGTTTTTCTCTCCCATCCAATTCTCAACGGCTTTTTCCTATTCCACACGACAGTTCTCTTCCTAAAACCCACCCAAAAGCTAGTTGGATGAAGATAATACCCTCCTTGGAGAGTGAGGGTGGGGGAATAGAAACAAACAGGCAAATTCAGGGTCTTGTTAGCAGAGGATAGCACGGAGAGGGAGGGTAGGGGTGGGCAGGACCGGAGAAGCTCATATTTTACTAAATTTTACTCCACTACAATTTTAATAACAGCGTTCATTAAAGTTTGATTTCTTAGATCTGAGCTTTCCTGATCAAAAATCTAACCTCCCTCTTCCCTGCCCCATCTTTCCACCCCTACCCCGCTGCTATCCTCTTACAAGGCTCCATGACATTGCTTCTTGTTTCCCGTGCTGGGCTCACCCTGTGACTTGTTTAGGATGCTGCCCTAGTCCTGTGGTCTGATTCTTGCCACCTTCTGTATCCTTCTATCTGCTACCTCTTCCAGAGCAGCCCAACAACTTCCATGAGGCTCACGCTGTCTCACAGGAGTGGGAGGGTGTGTGCTGCACTACTCGAAGACTCCTCTGCTTATTTGCCTATGAGTTCCTCTGTGCAGGGAGGGCTATGGTTAATCCACTGCTTATTTTCTTCATTCACAAACCTCTCTCAGCCTCTAGTAGTGCTCTTCTAGGAGAGGCTCCTCCTCAGGCCCCTGCGGCTATTCATACCTCAAAGTACAAACCAAGTTATAACTTCCCTTCCTCAGGTGGGGCAGGGCAGAAGGGAAGAGGAGTCCGGAAAGGCCACCACTAAAGACCCTTTCCTAGGGTGGTCCTGCCTCTGAAACCACTGCACAAGGCATTGTCTCTAGGTAGCCACCTGCTAGCTTGACCTAACTCTATTGTTTTACCCACCCACACATTCACCCATCTATTGTTTTAGGAGATCTACCAGGCACTGGTGATACAGAACTGACTTAAATATACATGTAAGCCCTTGTGGAGCTTATAGACTGGTCGGGAGATGGACGTTAATCGAATTGTTTAGTGAATGGTGGCTATTTTTTTTTATTTAGAGAAAAAAGCAAAACAGAAAAAAGGATAGAAATAATACAGAATTTCAAAAAAGTAACAGTAAGAAATCACTAGTTGTTCTAATAGTAGCTATTAATAGCACTTCTGAATCCACTTATCTTAGACTAGGAATTAGAAATGAATAGAAATCAGACTTTCAGGAAGGGCCCAGTCTCAGTTGCTAGACAGCTCTGTGGGTACCCTGGGCTGGGTGGGGGGAGCTGGGAAGCACACAATTCTGATGCTGTTCACTCCAGGGCCTCTCCTAATGGCATCCCCCACACCCCATCATAGATACTTGGAGTCCAAGATTTTGGTAAACTTCAGAACCAAAGGAAGGTATGGAGGCAGAGCCTATGAGAGAAGATCATTACACAGGGATGTTCTTTTTGTAATGTCCGAATGCGTTTTGGAACTTGCTGGGATTTGAAGGCAGAAGAAGAGCAGCTGCTACTGCTCCAGTTCCTGAAGCCTCTCAGTTCATGGCATGGACAAACAAAGGGAATGGAGGGAACGGAACACTCCAGGAAGGTGCAGATGACCAACACTGCAATGCTCAAGACCTGCTACGATTAAACCTTGGCCAAGAAACCTAGTCCTGCTCTCAGGGAGCTTCTGGCTGAGTGAGACATTGTTGGGGTACAGACAGGATTCCTGAGTAGTGAAGGACCCTACAGGAGATGCTCCAGAATCTTCAATAAGGTTGACATGATAATGTTTGATTCTAGAACCTGACCTCCCCTAACTCTGTTGCTTTAAAGTTTATTTGTGTTGGAAAGTTCCGTTCTGGTTCCAAAGTCAATTATTATTATTAATATTATTAATTTTTTAGGGATTGAAATCAAATTTACTATTTTTAGATTCAGCAGGAAGAAAATATTTTAAATGATTGAGCTATTAATTATCCTGACAGAAACGTGCAAACCCAATATGGCAAATTGAGAAATGCACTGATTTGCTCAAGTAGCATACATTGAAAATCAGGCATCTTCTAGTGAAGCTTCGGACAGTCCCAGAACTTATCATACAATGGATACTATCGTTTTGCAGGTGAGAATTGAACAGTGGAGGAACCAGGAGAATTCTTGGCATCTTCATGGTGTGATTGGTGCCGAATGATCATTTGTTACCGTGGGTCGGAGTTTCACAGTAGCAGAGGGGTTTTTCTCACTGAGGAAAGGCGACTTGGCTATCCCATTTGCATCCTTGGGAGACATAGTTTCTGGTTCAGATGCTGAGGTTTGGAAGGTAGAAGTGTTTTTGCCAGTATTCGCTTGGTTATTGCCAGCAGCTCCTGTGGACAGTTGGGGCCAGACACGTCTGGTAGTCATCAGGGTAATGCTGCTCTTCTCAGATGCACTTGAGGAACAGGTTTCTAGTGATGGCCTTTGAGCCTTGGAGTGGATTCTTGGGAAGAAGCTCAGTCGGTGGTGAAGACTCTTCCTTGGCTTTTGATAGCAAGTCAGTGAGAGCACGGTTTTCATAGGCAATGCTTATTCCACCAGAATGTTTCAGCAGTTGGTGAGGAAGCCAATTGTAGGACCACAGGCTCCCTTTCCTCCCCTAAGCCCTCTAAGGGTCTTTGGAGTCTCCATGCCATTCTTTGTGTTCTCGAGCTCTTAACAGGGTTGAGAGACAGCAACGTCTGTGATGTTCTGTGCCTACAGCAGTGAGATAATTGGCCTGTGTAACCTTCACTCAGAGTTCTGGTATGTGTTCTCCTCTGGGCTTTAGGAAGGCTGGCATTCTCTATTTCATTTTGGGTGTAGGCAGGAAATACTGTATTTCACTGTTGGTAACGATTTCCCAGAAAAAGGCATTATTTTGTCTAACTTTGCCTGAAAGATCGGAACAGATGTCAAGCCTTTGCTGCTTCAGTTCATTACTCAGAATGAAAGGCCCAGCGTTGGCAGGCTCGGCCCCCTCATACAGGTTTTCTTCCAGGATGATTCGTAAAATCATATTCTGTCAGAGCTGGACGAGAGACATGCAAGAACATCTATCCCAGCCCCACATCTTTTATAAAGAGAAACTCAGGCTTGGAGAAGCTCCTTGGTCTTCACTCTGATATTTACAGAAACCATGTTCTTGAACAAAACCAAACCTTTGACCTGTCTAAATCCTTCATCGGTCTTGTAGGTGATTTATTGGATTTTCCTGTCTCACACATGACCTGTCTGTACATTTCTAAACCTCTGAACCAGAAAGGATGTCTTCCCAGGATGTCACTGCATTCCCATAAGCAACTTTCCATTTACTGAAGACCTGCTTGGATACACCTGGTTCTGGCCCCTCTTGTTCTCATCAATCCTTGCTTGAAGAAATTTGGCCTCATCTGCTTTGTGACACCTCCAGCTCCCAGTACTGAAGACAAGAATGACTTGCCCAGCTCCATATTTCAGCATGTAGAATCTAGCCATCCTGGGTGCTGGCTGTACCCTATCCTTATACCTCTGGTACCTGGGCTACCTCTTACAAATTTTTAAGAATGGGATTGGAACTGAGGTCCCAGTTCGGCAAAGATCACCATTCTCTTGGGACAAAGGTCAGCCTCGGGGTCTAAAACTTGCTCTCTGAATCCCAGCTTACACCCTGAATCTGGTGTCCTGTTGGCAGCTGCTTTCCTGGGATTCCCAAGAATGGCTTTCACCAAATTACTTATCCCTATGCTCTGCCTCTTGGTTGGGATCCCCTAGGGTATCTGGCTTTTAGGCTGTGACCTGTTATAGTTAAAACAGTAAGTACTACTATCCTTCATGGGTACTTCTTAGATTCCAAGAATCACTAAATGTGCTACATGTATTGCCTCATACAATCTCCCAGTAGACTCATGAAGCAGTAAGTATCATGACCATATTGCAGGTGAGGATATGGTGATACAACCAAGCGAGGTTTGTTCAAGCTGGCAAACAACTAAGACAGTACTTGGACTCAATTCACTGTGACTGCAGTGCCCAACATTTTACCATTCTATCATAAAAGCCACATATAGTAGGTTGACTTGTGCACAGTGCCCCCAATTAGGTCCATACCCTAATGGCTAGTGCCTGTGGGCATGACCATATTTGGAATAGTCTTTGAAGATATAAGGAAGTTAAGATTAAGTCATTCATTGGGTTGTGCCCACAATCCAGGCTAATGTTCTTACAGGAAGAGAAACTAAACAAAATATACACACAGAGAAAATCATGTGTTGATGGAGGCAGAGATTTGAATAATGTAACTACAAGCCACGGAACAGCAAAGATCACAGGTAATATCAGAAGTAGGGAGAGAGGCCAGGAACAGACTCCCCCCTGGAGCCTTCAAAAGGAACCAACCCTAACAATACCTTGGTTTCTGATTTCTGGACTTCAGAACAAAAATAAATTCCTGTTGCTTTAATTTACCAGGTTTATTGACATTTGTTATGGCAGCTCTAGGAAACTAATACATCTGTCAATTATACCCTGTGCGGGGTGCATGGAAGTCCTCCCACATCCTGCAACTGGCTTCATCCTGACCTTGTCCTGTTCTACTGGCAGAACTTATAGCTGATCCCCTTCAGTCCTGTCCTGAGCCCAGTGTTAAGTCTCGGACACTTGAACTTGACTCTGGCTCCTG